ATCGGGTGGCATGATTTTTCGCACCCTCCATCAACTATGTCCAACAGGCGTAGCATAGTTTCACTTTGGCCAGCTAGAACACTTATGACGGCAACACCGCGCAGTTGATGAAGTGATGTTCTCACACACGCTCTCCCATGCACAAAAAACACGAAACAATTAACGAAATCACAGAGCGTGCGCACGTGAGCTGGTGTAAGTTTACCATTTTGTTAAACCACCTGAGATAGGGTGAGAAAATTCTGAAACTACTAAAAGTAGAAGGGACAGGGAAAAAAGTCAGTCAGGCAACTTCTCAACTGAGACGTCGCACACCGATCTATCTTACATTCAGTTTGGGACATACCTTTTCTGACTTTCTGCCGAGAAAAACTTAAAAGACACACAGCCCATTCTTGCTCCTTGAAACATACACAAGAATCTGGTCAACCGGAAGTTATCTCGGCCACAAGTTCCACCATTACTTGTTTATGTCAGCGTCGATTGTCCGCACCGGTGCACACTGAGGCCATGAGGTGTGCCCCGTCGTCTTCATTCAAATCTACCGGTCTGCCCTTTCGTTGCCCCAGCATGCACGAAAATTGACGGCGCGCTGGGGTGCAGTCTTATCAGGCATTGTGGCCAGGAGTGTGAATCGAGGAGATGGCTGGAATAGCAGACGCGCAGTCTATCGAGATGGCAAGCAACCTTGCGAACACGAAGAAGCATCACAGCGGCACTCTATGAATCCCTCAGCTCATCTGACAATGAGGGCAACGAGCTTAATTCTTTGTTTCGACGTCACCAAGGTACAACTGTTATCCGGTGTTTTTTTTTTTTCTTGAACGAACAATGATGGCCAAATATACATGTGGAATTGTCACCCGCTTCGTGAACCCATCGACAATCATGTCCACAATGTTTATTTGTGTGGGACCGCCAAATCAGCGAGTAAAGAAACCAGAAGAAAATGACAGCAGACAAGCACTGTGCGCAAATAAACGCAAAAAAAAAAAAGAGTGAGATGACATACGGTGGCACTCGTCACGGAGGACCAACACGGCGCAGTTTGCCCTCGATGTTGCACCGACTCCGCGCTGCACGACCGAGGAACACTGTGCACTGTCCTGCTTTCAGGGCGATTCCAGTGCGAGTTGATCGAAGATGCTATGGATTAACTGCTAATAGACGCTGCTTGCACGAGCGGTAGCCCAACCCCCTTCCCAACTCGCCAGTGCCAAACCTTACTTGAATGAATCCGAGTTACTCCGGCGGATCATGTCACGTGATCAAACAGATAGAGCAATGCGAGCAATGCTGGACGTGGGTAGGTTTTCGAACGCCAAGGTACAGAACCTTTACCCTAGAGTGAGACCGAGTAACTTTGGGAACACGGCCCACGACTGGCCTTCCGTCATTCGACACGCCCCACGGCTGGTATGGTAACTGCAGTGTATTCTAGGGAGTTGCTATTTGCACAGAATCAACAGGCGAGTCACTTGATGCTCCAGTGACGTCGTTTCTTTGCGTCACGCTTTTCTGTTGGTGGCGGTCGCGTGACTTCTTTTCTTTGCACCCTCGCGCAGCGGAAACGGGAAGCGCTCTAGGGAGAGTCCCCGGTTCTGCTGCTCAGCGGGTACGGTGAAACTGCTGGCAACCATTGCTTGCCAACAGCCATTTCTGAATGCAAACAACACTCCTCACTGTCCCAATGGAGTGCTATAGCCAGAATTGGATTGTGCTTCACTACAGAGTAGTAGTGTAGCGTGTACAAGCGCTGCACATTTGCGTTAGAGTTGCGTGCTGTTGTGCACATGAGTCGCCGCCATGCGCCAACCAAAGTCGCAATTTCGGGCTCCCCGCACGTGCAATGTGAAACACGCCATGCTAACTTAAAGGGAAGATGGGGCACTTCTACATTTGAGAAAAAACGCTTGAATTACGTTCATTTGGCCTTTAGATTAACAGATATCAAAATTGTATTTCAATGCGACGCGCCGGAGAGCCATACGAGCATTTTCAAAATAGGACTGAAGCCCCGCCTCCCTAGCCTTGGGCAGCCAAAAGAGCCGTCGATGACGTCACGGACAGCGACTGTCTTTTGCGTTTTTCTCACGTTTAACAATACTTACGCAGCAAATGGTTTGGGTATTCGGGTTCACGGGGTAAAAATACACTAGAATTCACTTCTAACTCATTTTTTCCAAGAAGCTCCGTAGCTTCCCTTTAAGCACACAGTGCTTGTGTTCGCTCGTATACGCAATACTAAAACTCCCTCACTAGTGTTACACCGGTTTTCCAATGCCAACGAAACATGTTGCAGTGAGCAGACTTGCAAGCGGGTGGGCGTTCTTACGAACTGGAAAGACTGAGATGGGCAAAACGACGGCACATAAAAATGAAAGGAAATGAATGTTCTGGAAAGCTTTGTAAGTAAAAAAAACAACAATAACTTCCATATCTTTTTTTTTTTTTTTTTTTTTTTCATTTAACGCCATTTGGTTTGGAGGGATTGGCGGCGAATTCGTAAGTTATGCTGACTCTCGAAACTCGTGACTTTGACAGTACCATATGCTTCACCCCTCAATCAATGTCAATTTACAAGGATTTCTCGAGTAGCTAGAATTTTTTATTGATTTTATACTATTTTCATTTTATAACTTGCTAATTAAACATGCTAGCAATAAACACTAGTGATGATAATTCTCCAACTTTGTATTACCATAGTTGTTTGCATGTTTTAAATGAAATCATAAGGAACAAATTATATTAGAGCTTTAAAAAAGACATATTAAACTATCTTTCCTAACATACTTTTAAAGCCTCTTCAAAACTGAAGAAATTACTGAAAGAAATAGAAGCTTATAAATGATAATTTTTGTGCAGGCATAACCCTCGCCTGCACAAAAAAAAGATGACTGTTGAAATAAATCTATAGATGCTCTTATTGCATTTACCCCTCTTGAGTGAATGAAGAAGGCTTGTTGAATTGTAATCCCTTTGTTTACGGAAATGTTATTACACACGCGAGCTGGTGGAGTATAGTTAATGAATAAATTATACGAACCTTAAAGGAGTCATGAAATGCTTTTCCAACTTTTTCCTGTTTAGCTTTCCTCCTCAACTCATAAATTGCGCATTCCACCAAACAGTCTAAGAAGACGAAAAGAAGGGAGGCCCCTCTTGCTCGGAACCTGGTTTCTGCACCCGGACAGAGCCATTGTCGCCCTAGAAGATTAGCCCGTCACTCAAAATTCAGACAAAAGTTGCTTTTCCTAACCCAGTTACCCCAAAGCTGACAGTGCGGTGGAAGCTACGTGCTCGTTGGGCCAGCCAGACTTGACACGTGATCACGCTCCTTCGCGCATAGTCACGCGCACAGAATGAGGTCAGATGATGAGAGGGAGGCGGCTGATTGGTCCGGCAAGCGCGTAGCTTCCACCACAGCGTCAGTATAGGCGTGAAGGGAATAAGTGAGGTCCGGTATCGTGTGACGTGCGTTTAGACCCGATGACGCGCTTTTGGGACCGCGGATGTATCACAGTGAAAAGGCAGAGAGCTTACGAAGGAGAGGAGGTACGAAATAGTCCGCTGTGTTTTCAAATTTTCGCACTGAAAGTCAGGCTTTTGACTTTCTACCTTTTTAGAGCACAGCTCTTAGGGGCCCGTTTCCGGCTTGAGCGGCGTCGCCGTCGCCGTCGCCGTCGGCGTAACCGTGCGGTGCATCATGGGAAATATCCCATAATGCACCGCGCGAGCCCCCCACCGGGGTCACGTGACTTCGTGGGGAGGCACGTGACCCCCCCCCCGAGGTCACGTGACTCCCCGAAGTCACGTGACTCCCCTGAGGTCACGTGACCCCCTCCTCGAGGTCACGTGACTCCCCTGAGGTCACGTGACCCCCTCCTCGAGGTCACGTGACCCCCCCGAGGTCACGTGACCCCCCGAGGTCACGTGACCCCCGCCGATGTCGCGTGACCCCCCCCGATGTCATCGACACTGATGACGTCACCGGCATCCACATCGTCATCGTCATCATCAGTGATGACGATGACGATGCGGATGCCGGTGACGTCATAAGTGATGATGACGATGACGATGTGGATGCTGGTGACGTCATCAGTGATGATGACGATGACGATGTGGATGCCGGTGACGTCATCAGTGATGATGACATCAATGATGATGACGTCATCAGTGACGATGACGATGTGGATGCCGGTGACGTCATCAGTGATGATGACGATGTGGATGCCGGTGACGTCATCAGTGATGACGTCATCAGTGATGATGACGATGACGATGCGGATGCCGGTGACGTCATCAGTGATGATGACGATGTGGATGCCGGTGACGTCATCAGTGATGATGACGATGACGATGTGGATGCCGGTGACGTCATCGGTGATGATGACGATGACGATGTGGATGCCGGTGACGTTACCGACATCCGCATCGTCATCGTCATCATCACTGATGACGAAATCAGTGACGTCATTGATGTCGTCACCGGCATCCGCATCGTCATCGTCATCATCACTGATGACGTCGTCAGCGACGTCACTGATGACGTCACCGACATTCGCATCGTCATCGTCATCATCACTGGTGAAGTCATCAGTGACGTCACTAATGACGTCATCAGTGACGTCAGTGATGACATCATCGGCATTGGGGGTCAGGTGACCCCCCAAGGTCACGTAACCCCCCCCCTGGTTAGTCTAACCCCCCCCCCCCCCCCAGCGCCCTTCCCTCCTCCTCCTCAAGAGCTGCGCTCCAATTCGGCGTTACAGGGAGTTGTAAGCGGCTTTCACTTTTTTCTTTTGGCCCATGGAACGATGGGCTATTAGTAAAATCCCAATCTAAAATGATTTATCCCAACCCAAGATCCGTTTCATACGCCCTTTAAGAAATTGAACATCGAGCTCACAGAAGAGACAGGTCTGCAGGGATCCCAGACTTCAGATGCATACCCAAGAGAAGGATGCAGGAGAGTTTTATAAGCTGCAAGTGTGGCTCACCTTGACTGCTACTGAATCTATCAGCTTGTGCTTGAAGCCTGGCATGGACTTGAAGCCTTGCAGATGCCGCTGAAGTGTCCGTGCTGCAGGCAGCGGCTGGCCCAATTCCCGTACCATGTTAAAACCACGTGGGCCACAAGAGAGACGAATCTTAAGAGCTTTCTCGAGAGTGTCCTTGCTCCATGCAGTCCCCTTCATAGTGGACTTTTCTAGATGCTTGACTTGATCTGCAGCGAGAAAGCGCTTAAGTCCAGATTTCAAATTGTTATTTTCACGTTGCAACTGATACTTTTGGCGTTGCACCAATGCCAGTTTTTGCTTCACTGATTTTAGTTTTTTTTCTAGCAGTTCGTTTTTCAATAGTACAGTGGAAAGACTGGTGGTCTCCTGATGGTATGCTCTGATGCTAAAATTGGACAGTGTGCCTGAAAAAAAAAAACAAAAAAAACATTTATTATTTTTGTTAGGTGGCTAATGGCTGGACTATAGGCTCGGCTGTAAGTAACAGCGTATAACTGTCTTGGCACTCCTCCAGAACATAAATAGCGGTGGAAAATTACAACTAACCAGCTGCTGTTGCTGAGGCAATCTGTCCTGGCCAAGCTGGGGAAGCAGGTGTCTGTGGAGCGCTGCTCGGACCTGGCTGGTAGTGCCACAGGAGGGCATGCACTCCTAGATTAAACAAAGAAGACATTAGTGGTTGGTGTGCCTCAGACAACCTGGAAAGAGTAACCAACCGCCAAGCTCACCAGCGGCTGGGGTCGCTGCGGCTGTCTGCTCCGAGGGAGTTATTCTTTGAAGAGCACCACTCGGATTTTGCTTGGGGCACCACAAGAGGGAGCGCACTCCTAGAATAAATAAACAGAACTAGTGAAAGGTAGGCCTCAGTCATCTAGAGAGTATAGAAGCAAGAGCACCAAACTCACCAGTGGCTGCGGTCGCTGCGGCTGTTTGCTCAGGGGAAGGTGTAACGTTTGGACCTTGCTGAGGGGGTCTTTGAACGACATGCACCCCTAGAATGAACAGGAACGACACTAATGGTAGGTGTACCTCAGTCGACCTGAAAAGCGTATATGACTGGAAAACTCACCAGCGCATGTCAGCCCCGGGGAAGGTACGGTGCTCTGACATTGCTGGGGGGGTCTCGGAAAAACACAGACTCCTAGAACGAACAGAGACACTAGTGGTAAGTGGGACTCAGTCGATCAAAAAGAGTATAGGAGCAGGAGCGCCAAACTCACCAGCGGCTGCGGCTGCTGCGGCTGTCTGCCCAGGCGAAGGTGTGACGTTTGGACCTTGCTGGGGGGGTCTTTGAATGACACGCACCCCTAGAATGAACAGAGACGACACTAGTGGTAGGTGTGCCTCAGTCGACCTGGAAAGCGTATCTGACTGCGAAACTCACCAGCGGCTGCCTGTTCCGGGCAAGGTGTGACGCTTGGACCTTGCTGGGGGTGCCTTCGAACGACATGCACGCCTAGAATGAATAGGGACGACACTAATAGTAGGTCCTCAGTCAACCTAGAAAGTGTATCTGACTGCGAAACTCACCAGCGGCTGTCTGCCCCGGGGAAGATGTGACGTTTGGACCTTGCTGGGGGTGTCTTTGAACGACACGCACCCCTAGAATGAACAGGGACGACACTAACGGTAGGTGTGCCTCAGTCGAACTGGAAAGAGTATCTGACTGCGAAACTCACCAGCGACTGTCTGCCTCGGGGAAGGTGCGGTGCTCTGACCTTGCTGGGGGGGTCTCGGAAGAACACACTCTCCTAGAATGAACAGAGATGACACTAGTGGAAGGTGCGCCTCAGTCAACCTGGAAAGGGTATCTGACTAAAACAAGTAAATAAAACTGCAGTTTCTAAAGGGTGTCATTCCTCTGTTTGTGCATCGAATTTGTACTGTACAACAGGTGTAATGAATCTTACTGAAAAAAATATAAATGGTGATATGCAATGTTGCACATACCATTTACGGTTGCAGTCCTCTGCAGTGGTGGTTTACGCTGTTTGCGTTGAGGGCGGTGAGCAAAGATGCTTGGGAGAGCATCTTTCTTCAGTTTTTTTACTCCGTGGTTTTTCAAGACGAGTGGTTCAAACTGGTCGCTACTGAAGTGATTCTGTAATACATTGAGAAACGGTTAAAACATATACTTTAGGCATACCTATTGCATATATTCACTCTTATCGTTATTTGCAGATATTTGTTTGCGATCGAATGTATTGTGATGTTCGAAGAGATAACATTTTAATCGCTAGAACATCATGTAATTCCACCGAAAACACGATTTTGCAATTCCCAGGTTGACCTGCCAAAGCCCTGCGCATGAAATCTGCGCCACCAAAGCTGCTGGCGCGAATATGGGGGGGGGGGGGGGGGGGGGGTGATCTCAAATGTTATTTTTCCTTTCGATTTGCTTTGAATAAGACGCACTTGGTACGAAACTGAGCATATGCTGCGCGAACACTTGATGATCGCTCGTTCTCCGCACGCACTCAGTGAAGTCACGATCATGGCGTTTTGAATGACGCTTACCTGCACGGCACCGCAGAGAAGGCTAGGAGCGCGAGATCATAGCGTTGGGAGCTGCTCTTAACGCACGAGAGCTTGTGCCGCCGAGATGTGCCCCAGAGCAAGGAGCTCGCGCTTGTAGCCTTTCCTGCGGTACATCACAAGGTGAATGTGCTCGCTCTTCCGCTTCGCCCTTACACCGGTCACGCTCCCGGTGGAAGGAGGTGTATAGCATTAAAGTCACAACAGCTTTACCATATTATATTTCAGACGCTGTCCGTATTGATACGGAGCACATACCTCGCATAACTTTGCGGCTTTCGTGGGGTTGAAGTCCTTCCGGCCGATTCGATGGAGCCATACCTTCCTCCGACCTTCGTTTGCTTTTCCAGAGGGAATGCTGAAATGCTTTATTCCCTTCTCCGGTCGACTTTTACACCCGTAGGCGCAGCAGCCCGTCATAATGCGCGCATGATCGCGACGAGTGCGGTTAGCTGTAGCAGCATTAGCCTGAAATCGGAGTTGTCCCTGCCAAGAAAGCGTTTGGGAAAGTAATGGCGGCCGGAAACGAAAAAGCGAAACTGAAACTACATCCCCCCTACCCCCCCTTTCATAACAAACAGTTCCAATGCCCCTGGCTTCCCTGGCTCTATTGTTCAAAAGTGGTGATGTGATTGAACCCCTAAGGAATTGTGATTGGCCAAGAGATTGCAGTCGACCATGTGGGCCGTGCTTCAAAGATTTTCAATTTCGCCGTCTTGTACATTTGCCTTCAAAAACCATCTTTGCTCCACAGCGTGCCAAGTGATATCTATATAGAGTAGAATTAGAACATAGTCATGGTTAATAAGGGCAGCCGTACAGATTGTTTTCCTCGCCGGAACAGCTGGACTATACAGAACTCCGTGGCCGATATGTGATGCAAAGACATCTACGCGACACACCTTCAAAACATGGCCGCGGCGCCGATTCTTGATCGGTATCGAAGCTTGCGAGTATTACTTGCGAGAGCACAGAGACGCAGTGCTTTGGCGTGCCAAGGAAGCTTTGAACGCGCCGCGAGACCGGCGAAGCTTGCTTTCGACGAGTTGTGCCTTTTTCCTGCGGCACTGACACAGTGAGCCACACAGTGAGCCTCCATAGCCTTGTTACTGTCACCCGGGTTTTAGAAACCGAATATCCCCCTTGTTCCCCTTCTCCAGGGATTATTTTCGTCATTCTTGTCCAGCTCGCTTGCACCTTTGCCTTTAATTAAAGCATTATTATTATTATAATGACGACGTGTACTAGTAAGGTTATTTTATGTTTACCTTGGAATACCATGTATTCCATCACGGGGAAAATGTGAAATTTTGTAAGCTTAAGTGCACATGTCTATTGGGGAAAAGTATCAAGTTGATAAAGATTATACCACAAGAAAGCCTGGACACCGAAACCGATACCAACATCTATTTATTAGAAACACAAGCCAAGCCAATCCAAACCGATTAATTTGGTTTTGATCCGGGAGTGGAGCGAAGCGTCAGGCTCACGGTAGGTTTGGTTACTTCGCCTGTGAGGCTTATTACTTCGTTATTTTAAGACTGGTAGACCAGGTAGACCCAGCGCCATAGGTTGCTTCACCTTAAACATTTGTCCTCCTCGACCACTCTGAAAATTTGTTCGGGACGACCAGCGTTGTAATCCGGCAATAGTTGCCACGGGCCTTTCCAAACCTAACTCCATGAACGCAGTGGTGGCAGTCCACGTCGGTGCCGGCTACCACTCGCCAGAAAAACTGACCGTCTACAAGCGACTCTGCCATTTGGCCTGCAGGAAGGCGGTCGCAATGCTCGAACGCCCGGACTGTACCGCGCTCGAAGCCGTGTCCAGCGCGGTCGTCGTCCTCGAAAACGACCCGGCGACCAATGCTGGCTATGGCTCCAATCTTACCATGTGCGGCAACGTCGAGTGCGACGCCTCGGTGATGGATGGCAAGTCCCTCAAGTTCGGCGCGGTAGGCGCCCTCCCGCGCGTTGAAAACCCGGTGCTGGTCGCCAAGGCGCTCTGCGAAGCGCAGGCCCGGGGTCCCCTGTCCTTGGGCAGGATCCCGCCGTGCTTCCTCGTAGGCGAGGGCGCGTTTCGTTGGGCGCAAACTCATCTGCAGGTCGGCACAGGGTCGCAGCTCGTCACCGAACAGGCCAGGCGCTGCCACACGAAACACAAAAAGAGAATGCGTCTATCAGAGAACTGTCTGCTGCCAAAAGCTTCCGGAGGAAGTTCCTCATCGTTGAACCAGGACAGAGGGACTGTAGTACAATGCCACTCCGAAAACTTCTGCAAAGGTTGTGATCAGGACCTAGTCAACCGTGTGGCGTCGAGCCTCCGTGCCAAAGGGTTGGACGCCCCCTGTGGTCTCGAAGGCAAGGATGATGACTGTTCTGAACACAGTGGATGCCTCCTGGACACGGTGGGAGCCGTCTGCTTGGACAAGTCCGGAAATGTCGCTGCCGCGGTGTCCAGTGGGGGTATTTGGATGAAGCACAGCGGACGGGTCGGACAGGCTGGCGTCTACGGCTGCGGCTGTTGGGCCGAGAACTCTGCCGATGGCAGTGCAGTCGCCGTATCCACATCGGGTGGAGGCGAGCACCTCATCAAGACAATGCTGGCACGGCGATGTGCAGACGCTCTCTTGTCCGCAGAAGACGGGGCCACGGCCTTGCATGGATGCTTCAGGGCTGGGTTCCTGGACTCTCCGTTCCTGCAGGATGTCAGTGAGAAGCTGGGAGGAGTCCTGACACTGAAAGCAGATGCAGAGAGTGCGGTCTGCGACGTGCTATGGGCCCACACAACCAGGACGCTGTGCTACGGTTACATGCAGACTGGTGGGACGTCGCCCAAGTTTGGCTGCTCGAGGCTCCAGGCAGGGGAAACTGTTGGGAAGAGTGTGGTCGTTGGTGGGACTCCGCTCAGGCTGTGTTCTCCATTTGAAAGGGACTGCTTGTGATGTGGCGATATTGTGAGGAAATAAACAACTGCAGAGAGTTTTCGTAGTGTGTGTCGACGGTGTGTTTTGTCAGTGTTAATGACCTATCTGTGCTGTGCATATGCTTTTGAGACACTTGATTACCTTGTGGCCAACAGAATTTGTTTGTTGCTTCATCATACCACTCCTACAGTTTGTTTGACATTGAAAAGAACTTGGCTGCACAAACTAATGCATGGCAGGAGTAGCTGATTAAGCTGATTGAGCTGGAGCTTCTAGCTCTTGCTGTGGAACACCTAAACGTGAAGCTGTGAATGGCATAGAAATATCACAAGTGCTCAGAACGCAGGCAGGGGTGCAACGCATAAATTGTGCAGTTTGTTTGCTAGCAAGCTGACTTAAAAACAGTTTGTTTTTCTGAATAACATTGTCAAAGATTTCACTTTCTTGAACAGTACTGAGAAATATACTGGGTTAGCGCCCAAGGTGATTATGTGACTTTTGCAGTCTTGCAACATCGGTCAGTTGAATGCACCTGTCTTCACTCAGGAAGGACAACGTTGCAGAAGAGATCAGCTATAAATGCTCATGAACATAGCTAGTACAGCTTGCAGAGATACCATATGCACCTCATATATTGTGGTCAGCAGCATTGGAAAGGCCACATAACATTACATAATTGCTTACAATCCTCCATAAGGTCGCCCATTTTTCTCGTCCCTACCTTTGGTTCAACCGGTGCTTGCACCATGACAACATTTTCTCCTGACGCATGCACTCTTGGTTGCACATTTATAAAATGCTGTCCACAATCATACTTGGTGGAAGTTGACACGGATTAGTAGACACCCTACACAGGGAGGTTTATCAACTAGTGTCTAAAGGGTAGTCGGAGGCAATATGAGCTGGCCCAGTTTAGTGTTAGCCAAAAGGGATAACACGTGCCACACCCACTGTCCTTTAATCAGCTCCGCGTTCTGATGGCACCGCAACCCTTGCAAAAGAAGCAGACGAACTTGCGCTCTGCACTAGTCCTTCCTACTACATCATTTGTCACTTTTTGTCTTCCTTTGGGACAGGACAGCCTGCACCCACACATGCAAACGCCAAGGTATGGGCCTGTCACGATTCTGAGGTCCGTGCTGGGCCATCGCGGTGGCAGACGGAAACCCGCCGCCTCCCACGTGCTGACCTGCCACCTGCGCCAGCGGAAGAAACCCCACTGGACCTCATACTTTGTCCGCTACTCATCGGTCTCCAACGACCAGTTCGGGATGTCCCACTTCAACTGGACGGTGGACGAGGTCAACTACCATGTGCTCCGGACCGGCTGCTACCCTTTCATCAAGTACCACTGTTCCAGGAGGCCCCACAGAGACCTGTCCCTGGAGAATGCGTTCTTCGGCTTCATCAAGCTGCTCAACCTAGGTCAGTCGACCGCGAGTGCAGCAGAATAGTTGAACTTGGAACTGTGGACCTGTATTGGAGGGTTGCTTCCTTAGACAATATGCACAAGGTCCCGAGATAGGACAACGGCAGAGGATGACACGCACATCCAGGTGGAGATTAGTAGCCGAGCGTGTTAATGAGCCACAGCTCAAAGCACGTGGAGCGAGAGCTTGCACTGCAGGGCCCAGAGATCCTGGGTTCAATCCCTACCTCTGCCCATTTCACTCTGGATGAGCATTGTACCAGGGTGCGGTTGTGTATCACTACTGCATGGCGCACATTAGAGACCCCAGGCTAGCGGTGGTACTGCACTAGCCAGATTTCTTATTTACAGTGGAGATATTATAGATGTGTTAGTGGGGCTGACTATAATCCATATTGCAGGCTAAGAAAAGCAGAGGAAGCCTCTCCCAGAGTGCCCTCTGCTCGCCATGATTGCTGGCTTTCTCCTCTCCAGTATTTGCTACACTAAAATGGAAAGAGTGAAGGGCTTTTTGGGACGAGCTGTCCTGCCTTTCTTGACATAAACAGACTAACTTCCCGCTCTCCAAGAAAACACACAAGAGAAACACGCTTGTGTGCATGTCATCCTCTGTATGCTGTCCCGTATGATATATAGTGGTAGGCTATGTTGGCACCCTGCAGCTTGGAGGACGTGGAGCAAACGTCAAGGCTCAATCCCTCCCCCTGCCTGCTTTGATCTGGACGAGTAGTATTGTACCGATATGTTCTCGTGTAATCCCAACTGCATGACACGCGTTAAAAGCACCCCAGGTTAGCAGTTGAGGTGCACTGGCTAAATTTCTCAACTACAGCATGGACTAGTGTTGCCAACCTCCAAGGTAGACTGTTCTCATGCAGTTTTAAGCAGTCGTATTCAAGCTGCTTTGGAACACACGCACACAAGGTCTCACACATAATGGACTCTCACTATGGTGCCCGGTGTCCGGTTTTTTGTCACTGTGAGATCTAATTTGCCTACCTCATAATGAGTGAAAATAGTGTTCGTAGATGGTTTGTCTGCTATGAAGCATTATTTGCCGACAAAAATAAACGAGAAAATGCCACACGCCGTCTGCTAACAGATCGAAAAAAAAAAAGTGAAAGCCGTTTACAACTCCCTGCAACGCCGAATCGGAGCGCAGCTCTTGAGGAGGAGGAGTGAAGGGTACTGAGGGGAGGGTAGACCCCTCCTCCTTCTCCTCCTCCTCCCCTCATTCTTTAATATGCTCCGGGGGGGGGGGGGGGGGGTCACGTGACCTCGGGGAGGCGTGACATGGGGGTCACCTCAAGGTCACGTGACCCCCACGTGACCTTGGGGGTCACGTGACCTTGAGATGACCTTGGGAGGGGTCACGTGATCCCAAGATGACCCCACGTGACCTTCAGATGACCTTGGGAGGGGTCACATGACCTTGAGGGTCACGTGACCTTGGGATGACCTTGGTGACGCCGCTCAAGCCGGGAACGGGCCCCTAAGAGCTGCGCTCTAAAAATAGATTGTCTACTACAAACCGAGCGCCGCGGCGAAGTGAGATTGGGCGCAAACTGAAATTTTTACCGTCTGCCATTTCACGTAGGAAGCCATTCACAACTCAAGGTTTTGTTTACAAATCTCAAGTCGTTCTCTTGTTGTACACAAGGTGACTTCAAGTGGCGGGCAAACGAGTGCCAAGGACGAGCACGTTGGAGGCTGCGGGACCTTTCCCACTACTTGCACATTGGCGAGACGTTCTCACCAAATTTTTGCCCCATCGTGAACTCGCAGGTGGTCAAAAAATTCCTTGTCGCTTGATTGCGTTCGAGCCGTAGCGTCACGTCCAATCAGCAGACGAGAACTCTCTCGCCTCAACCAAAATTGGACCCCCGGAGTGCGTCTCCTTGTCTACCACGCACTCAAGAGTGGTCCCCTGATTTCCGCCCGATGACGTCAAGAATTGTCGATGCCGCTGCAATTCTGGCAGTGGTAAAGTGGCAGAAATCGGTTCAGCCGTAGGTTGCTCTGCAGCCAGACGGTCGACAGAACCAGAGCGGGCACGACAACAGCAACCCCCGCACCCGGTCACCTTTTTCGCCAGCATTTCTACGCCCGGGCGCCAGGATTGCAACATTTGATAGCATGACCATGGTTGGATTGGTGGCCATGGCATGACACACTGGCTCCCGCGACACAATTCGTTATCCCTTCGGGACCCTTTTCGATGCACGGGTGGTAGAGGACCGTAGGCACATCAGTTGGAGATTTTTTCTGGGCACTATACATACTTACAAGGAATTTGTCATCGAACTACACACCCACGATCCATGTCCCCAGCAATTTCGGTCGCGCCATTGCTGCATTGCGAGCATTCATCCTGTGGTTCGTTTTATCGCAGGAATACCAACGCTGGCCTACGGTCTCGGCTCCATACTGATGATTAAGCACCACGAGGTTGTGGTGACCTCCGAAGGACCGGTGACGCTGCACTTTTTAATGGAAGAGGACAAGGATGCCATGTTTTAGCTCGAGCGACTCTGGATCGGCATGTTAACATTGTCAAGTAAAGTTGTGGAACATGAGAGTATTACCGTGTCTCGTTTGTAATCTGCGTATCCACGAAGTTTGTAATCTGTGTAGGTAAAAATGTGCATAGAGACAGCCAAAATCTAAAGTCCCTCTATACGGGAAAGGAATGAAATTCTTTGAAGAGCAACGTTTGCCCTCTTGAGACAATGGGTACAGCGAGCGGGTGTGTGAGTAAAAAAATGAATATAAGGACACGTGCAAAGGGGGACGAGATAGTTCAGGGAGGGAACATCTACTAGGTATGCCTACGAAGCAGGACGGAGGCTATGAGTCAACGGTCCCGATCAAGAAACGCTAGAAGTACATTGTTACGATTCTCGGCATCTTTCTTCCCGTCTCATCCAAGCAAGCCACAAAGTGCACCATGACAATGCGCTTTTGGTCAGTGTGCACACGTCTGCGCGTCGTCTAGCCTTCGACTGCGCTCTGCCTTACGATTTAACCGAGTGTAGAAATGCTGCCCAGTGTCTTGGAGCAAGCTGCAATCATGATGGTGGGCAACTGTGAGAAAGCAAAAATAAAGAAGAAAAGAAAAATGTGCGTCCCAGAGAAGGGAGATGTCATTACCTTTCCGATTCAGGGGCTTTACTGAGAGGGAGAGGGGTCCGTGGCCAGGCACATTAGTGCACCACAGCTTGGAGCATGAGTAGCCTAAGGTCGCGCTACGGAACTCGGGGATCCTGGGTTCAATCCCCACCTCTGCCCTTTTCAATCTGGACGAAAATCGTGCAGGCATGCGGTCCTGTACGACTACGACGTGATGCACATTAAAGATCCCAGTCTAGCGGTGGTGCTGCGCTGGCCAAATCTCTTGCATACAATGTAAACCAGTGTAGCTGCACCTCGTCAAATTTGGGTCGATTTGGCTCTACTAAAACTGGAATGCCCAATGACTGAAGAGCCAGAATTCACACGGAGCTTAGATCAGCTCGTTGGGGCATAGTCTCAATTTATTCTAGAAAGCCTGTCAATTCCTCAATTGAACCATTGAGCGCTAGATCGCTGAAAGATGAGGAAGCAGTGCCGAACGGTCTCTGACATGGTACGCAGAGCCACTTCCCAAGTGACCCCTCAGTTAGCGCCAAAAATATGCGCGGTGGCCTCCCTGCAAACCAGCAACAAACTGCAACGTCACCCCTTATAATCGAAAAAGATGCCTGGACATTACTCTCCAAATTCTAAACTTGGGAACTCAGTATTTGTGAAATAATAAAACAATTTCCAAAAGCCCAATTTGAAGTTCCAGCGTGATCCGCGCCAGTGCAGCGACGTCAAAAATTGAGTCGTCCTGTAACTCGAGTTTTTCTCTTGACCCGAACAGCAAGTGTCATGTTCACCCATGATCAACTGCACTTCTCTGTGCATGCCGTGCCGCCTATTGCTGTGAGCATACGACGCTTCACTTTCGAATTTGAAGTTCTTTTAGGGCCCTTTCAGCGATCCCAAATTCTTTAAAACGGTGCGAGGTCGAAGAGGACGCACAGTGGACTTTTGTGAACGACGTGAGGGGCACGAGAGCAAATAAAGGATCAAAATCCTTTATTTGTTCTCGACGCTTTGTCAACGAGGGTTATTAGGTCAGCCCAAGCGTCTCTAGACCGTTGGGAGTTCAAATGGTACCACAGTTGAGGTGTGGTGTTGTTCCGACAAACTTTCCTCAGCAGGTCACATCACACGAAGCGAAACGTCCAAGGCTGGAGGCAAGCCTAGCATACATAGACAACTTCGTCCTGTTGCCCGATCATCCTCACTGTTACGGGTGCCGCCATATTTTCTGAGCGAGGATAAAAAGCCAGGATGGCCAGGAGGCGACATCACTCCGGACTCCAATTTTCAATATTTCGAAAGTGTCAAAAAATGTTTTTTTTCTTTTAAATAAATATCATAAAAATGTTGCTTACAAAGGTCCTAAATTTCACAATCGATTACGCCACAAATAAAAAAAAAGGAGGGTGGCAAAGGTAAAAAAGAGTGAGCATGTGGGAAAATTTTTTTTTTTTTTTTTACGCTTTGATTTTTTTTTTTTTTGTGTGTCTATGATTACAACTTGTATCGTTTTAGACAAAAAAGAAACGACCTTTGGGGTGTTAGTGCTCCCTTAAAGCTTTAATTAGTCTGTTGACTTCGACAAATGTGGCCCTTTTCCTTTGCCAAGTGGCGTCGGCTCGTTTTCAGATTTTCGCACATATGCGTATAAAAGTCTAACTTTTGAGGAACCTTTGTCGAACCTTGCGATAAAAGTTTGGAAAAGTCAACGAAACTCGAACCTGGCAGGTTTGCGGCATCCCTAGTCATAACGGAGTGTGTCGCAATTAAACACAAATGTGCGAACCAGCCAGAAGGCGCAAGTCCTCAACCGTTTGCAGACGGCACGAAGGAAACCGAAAGCAACTAGACCTGCTCGCACGGACGGCTAGTTTTCGAGGTAGCACGGAAGCGCAAATACGAGTTCATCCAGCCGACGCATGAAGTCTTCGTGACGCGTGGAAGATGACTCGGTGAGCTCGCGTAGAGTCTCGGCGCTTTTCTGGAGCCGAAAAAGGGCGTCCAGGGACGCCGATATGGAGTGGACAAGGCGATCAGTTTCGTTCGGAACACGCTCGGGGATGTCGTCCACTTGGATCTTAGCGAGGGAGAACAGTAGCTTCGTCATGCCTTCACTGCAGGCGTTTTTGGAGAGCCTCCCAAAGTCGGACGGCTTGACGCGCTTGGGCTCCTTGATGGGTGGCTTGGCTTGCTGCCGGTGCAGTGCTTCGATCTGTGGACATGGTATTTCTGTGTTAGTGCATTCCGTGTCTTAGGGAAGGTACGACCACGTCTCTTAATGGCCCTCCAGGGGCGTCATTCCCAACACCATGCACAGGCATATATTCGCGACTCCAGCGACACAGACGGCACCTAACGGGAAAACACTGGACTGGATGAAAGCAGTCCTTTCGCAATTTCCGGTTGTCCCTTGCGGCCTCCGTAATTACATGTTGTCAGCGGCTGGTGCGATAGCCATCAAACTAGAGCGAGGGAAGTTGCGGTGGTTACGTCCAGAGCAACAAGAGCGGCAGCAATGACGGGACCGCAGGGAAAGCCGCGACTTGTAGCGGCTGAAGGAATTAGGTGCACATTGCATTGCTTCTCTTGTTGCATAGGACAAAGAGTTGTTCTGGCGACTCTGTCATTGCTGTCGTATCAGCGTGATGCCAAGGTCGCTTGAAATGCAAGATGCACACCGCGTGAACCAGGCATTGTATTTATCAACGTTCATTAGCACGGTAAAAGGACAGAAGGTAGTCCTTTTATCGCCTTCCCAAAGAAGGCCAAACCTCTGAAAGTTCGCTTCTTCCAACACACCACCACAGCTCTAGAACAAGATAAAAGAAATTAGGACAACACAGCCATATCTTTTATGGTTGTGTTGTCCTATGTCCTACATATTTATTCTTTCTTTAATCTTGACCCGCACCAACAGGCCCTTCCTCCGTCATTAGGTTTGGAACGTAGCGCATAAGAATCGGAGCAAAACACTTCGAGTCCGACGTTTGGGGGCTAACGCGCGCCGCCGTTATTTGCTAAAACGTCGATTCGCTAAAACGTCAGACGCCCAAGCGATATGGACCCGTATTGCCGTCAATTTTTTGAGAAGGAGGTAGCCTTCATGTCAAAAGGCTGCAAGACTAAATACCTTTTCATCGATTGCCTGTTCGTCCAACGGTTCCCCGTTTGAAAATTTCGAGCTCGTGCCTTCCGAGCCCTGGTCGGAAGAGCCGGAAACCGAGGTAGTATGCCGCGACGTCCGCCCCCCACAGGATCCGACAACAGTGGCCGGATTTACGGTTCCCGTGGTCCGTGGTTCCATCGGGGAAAGCAGTGACACGCAGATCGAACGCTAGTGTTCTTGTGACTCGACTGAATCAACCAAATCGACCAGACGACCTCAATCCAAACCACAAACATACACTACATTGGATACACAAATCGCGCCAGATCGACTGGATTGGATTGGGGTTGGTTATGAAGATGACCATAGAAGCCGACCAAACGGTGCATTATGGGTGCGTGTAGGTGCATGCTGCGTCCTTACTACTTAACACCATAAAATCCAAAACAACTACTGAAAAAAACTCAACACTTTTATTTATTTTATATACTACTATATTCTTGCAAAATCGCTTTTTAATTTGAACTTTCAGTTTTATTAATACTGTAGTTTTCGAATCGGTTTCGGTTTCGGTCATTTCGGATCAACGCTCACTTTGGATGGTGTCTACAAATGCCTGCGAACTAAAGAAGATTGCACAATACGGTAGGCGACACATATAGTAGTTTAATTGAGCTGCAAGAGGTTTAAAACCCGACCCTCCTTGGCGGTGAGAACAGACGTAGAGGCACTGGCGGATCCAGTGGGGGGGGGGGGGGGGGGGAGGGGGGGGGCGGGAAGCCCACGGGGGCCCAGGGGGCCCTCCCCCCCCCCCCCCCCCCCCCCCCCTCCCCCCCCATGATGCTGAGCGGACTGCGCAAAACCAGAGCCTGGCTCGAAACTGACGGATTTAGAACGTTTGTATCCGAGCACCGGCAATTTGAAATGTCGTTTCCTGTGACTTGCCAGTTAATTAAGATGATAAAACAGAGGCCCCAAGCGTCAAAGCGCACCGCGCACCTGCACCCTCGTGACAACGCGGAGTAGAAAAAAAAGAAAAGCAACGAGCTGTTTCCATTTGACAATGGGCTTTTGAGAGTAGCGACCTTCTGTCACGAATTTCAGTATTTTTTGTTGCTTTATTTTGGTTGTGTCTCTGTTCAGCGCGTGTTTTTCTTTCTCACTAAAACCCCCCTATGGAACTCTTTGGAATCCATCCCTGTCGATTCCCGCTTTCACTTATCGGATTATCTTTGGAGGTGCCCGCGTCTCTGCCGCTAGGACAAGACCGCCGGGCAGCTCATTGCCTCCCTTCCTGAAAGGGAGAAATTGTACTGGTCTGGTGAAGGCGAGCGAGTTGAACATTGAATACATAAAATTGAAAGAATAAAACACGGAGGACAAACACATGCGTTTCTGTCGAGGCCAGTCGTCGGGAGTTTTTAATTTTTATGTTTTGCTCGGGTAGCTTGGTCCGAGTAGGAAATGATTTCCCCCGACCTCAGGGCCGGTCGGGTTGGCTGGTCGTTCCTCCCGTCGTCTGTTCCGGTGAGTCGTACGGGCTTCGGTTTTTTCCCTTTTCGGGGAGTGAGTGTGCGCGCGGGGCTGCGTTGCGTCGACCGCCGAGCAACGAGTACACCACGCCGGAAAGTAAGCCTTCGTCGTCCATCGGACCCAAGACGTCGGTGAGTCTTCGCGGACTTTGTTTGAACCACGGTTGAACTTTCCCCCTGGCCTTCGGGTTCACCAGTGGAGCTTTTCCTTCCTCGAAACTTTCGTTTTCTATGCATAGGCGAACGTTGTTCCCGGCTGAATTTGTGCCGCGAGCAGCGTTGTTTCGCGCTGTGTCGGGATTGAGTGCTGTTTTGTTGTTCTTCGTGGCCCCCGCCGCCCGAAGTTTCGTCAGTGTGTTGTTTTTGTAACGCGTGTTGCGTTTGGTTGAGTTTTTCGTGCGCAGCCGTGCGCGGCTTTTTATCGCTTCTTATTCAATTTCTTCTTATTTTGTTCTTTTACCCCTGCGTGTCGTCGCCATTTTCTACTTTACACCGGGCGTGGGACCTATCGCTTGCCACCGGCCCGAACCTAGCATTTTTATTATTTTTCAATAATTTCTCGTTTAATCTCAGAG